TTCCTTTCCGGTTAGTTTTGATTTTAATTTTGAATTATTTTCTCATCCTATAATATTCTATCTCGCTGCATAAAAGCTCCTACTTCTGAGATTAGGTATTTCTTATTCAAAGACGTTTTAGTTCAAGTTATCTTTCTGACAGCATTTCATTTAGCTAAATTCGATTTGGGAATTATTTAAATAAAGAATTCATACTAGTATTCAAAGATTGAAAGTATTTTATTTTGTATCATAGTACTAAACTGTGGATTCTTTATTCATTCCAACTGTCTAATCATCCGACTTTAAGGCACTGGCCTACGATATTACACTTAATTTTGTGTACTTTAACCAATCAAATGATAACATTTGGTGTATATGATTGTCTAATAATTTGTAAGCAGTTAGTGAACTGCTTTTCTTTTATTGTTCATACCAAAAGTGAGTCTTGTTCGTAGACTGTTTTTCAGCAAAATGGGTTCTCTTTAACACTTCGTGATTGATGGTTGTCGAATATAGCCTTAGATGTTAGGAGTAATTTGATTTGAAGCCCTGAAACTAGGTTTCTTGCTTGCTGACACTTGCCGAATGAATGTGTTCTTAACCTTTGAGGAAATTTAAATCCACGACTGAAGCCGTAGTTAACGACTTTACCACAGAGCTATTCATGCCACAAGTGAAGCACGAGATATCTATATTGCATACGCGAGTTTGCCACTGGGTGGTAACCCATGTAAGTCGTAGTTCTTAAGAGTGTTCAGTCTCAGCGTGACCCATTTGCTAGAAATTTGTAATCATTCAGACTAACTGTAGGTTATAAGCCTGTAAACTGACTGGTTCCTGCAACCAGTTTTGTTTGATTTGAATAATTCACAATCTTGATAAAACATTGTAATGAATGGATATAAAACATATTTGCAATTTTGAAGTAATCACCATAGTTATGTGTTATCTGTGACAATTGACATGTAACTGACAGAAACACAAATAATTGAATCGAATGTTGAAGAGATACGATATATCACAAAATAGAACGGCATTTGTAAAAAACGTGTGACCAAGGAAATTAGTATCCATTGCTTTCACACCTCTTCAAATTGCTTCGTCTGTTATGTTTATAGCATCTGGTAGTGTTCACTTTTTGATACCGAAAGTAATCTAATTACCTGTGTTGCTCGTATACTCAGCACTCGTAAATTATGAAGTAATTCTTTGCAAATGCTATTCAAAATAAAACAAGTAATAGTGGTAGTGGTAGACAACAGAAATGGTATTTATAACAACAGTCAACAGTTTTTCATATAGTATGTTTGATTGTAATTAGTATGAAGTCTAAGGCATAGGTCTTTTGCTTTCTATCATTATTCAACAAAACATGGCTGAGTTTAAAACACCCTTACTAGGTTTCACATTATCAGACGTTTACTCTTTGATGTCAAGCAAACAACTGATATTCTCTTATCAAATTAATTAGTCATCTGAAAACTCTAAAGTAAAACTGACTATAACGTGGCTATTAGTGCATCATCCAATCCTTCCTACAGTCAACTGCAATTCAAATACAGTAATTCAACTTTAAAATTCCCAGTCATGGACCCTCTCAGTGTCGTATATACTCCTTTCGGACAGTTACCAACATGTAAAAAGATGTCATCCACAGTAGTTTCCTGTCGTACAACGTTCTTCAGTGTCTACTATAACTTCAGAATACAACTTTAGGAATTATTAGATTTATTCAGAAGAATCCCGGAGTGTGAACACTTTATGATCATTTAAATTCATTATGTATTCTGTTAAACATGGCATCTGGTTGTTTACTAACACGCTGACTTTATAATTCAAAACAAGTTTTCTAATAAACTGGTTTATCTTTGTAACTATAAATTAATTCTCAGGTCCACAACAAATTGCTCCTCAGTTTGTCAAACCATTGCCTACTGAGCCTATCGAAGTTAAAGAAGGCGAGCGAGTTTGTGTAGAAGTACAAGTTTCAGGTGAACCTGTACCTGAAATTAGTTGGTATCGTAATGGAAAACCATTACAGCCTGGTTCAGATTGGCAGGTAAGTACAGTAAATGTGTCTTTTCAAATTCTCCTTCTTGCATTCATACACGTTCTCCTCACGCTTATTTCAAATCCTTGATTATCAGTGGCTTGATAACTGCATTTCCAATGAGTGTGTAGGCAGTTGTCTCTCAGTACCCAAATATGTTCATGAAGAAGTTGAAATCTAAAACAATTGTAAATCCTCAGCAACGTCTGCTTATAAACTGCTACCCAATTGTTGACCCAAAAATATTTTCATTTCAAGGAAGATTTTCTGTACAACAAGTCAATGAACCAACACAAGTAGAAATTCAGCATAATACCACTCATAATAGTGATAATAATTATTATTATGTATGGTCCGTGAGTGGTGGTCGCCGTAATATGTTGTGAGTGATTTTTATTTGACAGTGCATCATGTTTAGGGTGATCAAATATTGCCTACAGACGTGGTTCATTGGCTAACACTAGGCTAACTACTGAAAGAGTACAGATTCAAACTCTGGTTCATATGCGTAGGTCTTGAACCCAAGCATGAACTAACTGGTTAGATGTTTTAAGGTAATCGGTGGGTAGCCCTGGCTCTAGGTTCGTGCTTGTTAGCATTTTTCAGTAATGAGCACCTGTAACATTTAGAAGACTGATGTTCCACTGGAAATTTGAACCTGAATCACCCAGTGTTAAAGTCAGAAACGTTACTACTGAATTATTCAGGTTGCGATTGACTTCCTATAGGGCTGTATTAGACATAGTGATTGGTCACTGGAGAGCGAGTAATTTCATATTGTCCATTCCTAAGTCATGGTCGTTCCTGAATGTATCAGTGAGTAACGTGACCATATTTCAAATGGCCGATCAAATTTGTTTAACACCTGACAACATGAAATTGGTCACTCTTCAGTGACCAGTTATTTAATGAACTAATTTTCTTATCTTTGTTGCTGATTGAATTCTACTGAACATAACAATATCAACAAATACCCATTTCACTATTTTTAAAGTTTTTTTCAACTTCAAAAGATGGCGAAATTTTAAAAATTCTATTAACGAAGGCATTCAATACAACAATGAAATTCTGAGTATCGTCTTGATTACAATCCCGTGGCCGACTCCTTATAGTAAATCCTTCCAGAAATAATTCACTTTTGACTCCTATGTCGTTGTGATAAGCACTTCAGACTGTGACTTTGGACGGCATGCTTTTAAATTTTAGATAAACTACATACCGCTCTGATGTTTTAAATGCGTTTCATTGAAGCTCAGTAGTAGGATACTAGGATAATTTTGAAAGTATTTTACAACAAATATAAAATCTTATGGTGATTGCATGGTCGCAGCGTTGTCATATTTTTTATTCTTACTTCTCAGAGCTGCAGTTATGAGAAGTAACCTATCCTATTTAGTCAAAAACATTTTTATGATCTGGAAGGTTAGAATTATTGTCCTGAGAATAAAGCATAACGAGCACGGGAAAGTCAAAAGTTTAAATATGAAATACTTTTCATCTTTAGCTAAGTAATTGAGAAGGATCTTCCTAGCAAGATCGGAACGTTGAGGAATAATACAAAATATTTGTTTATTTTGTTATTTGTTCTAGTATACCACGCCGGGATTACACAAGTAAAAATATATCCTATACAGTGAATTGAGGAGTAGTCGATAAATTTGTGAGCTGTTTTTATGTATCATTGATATCACCCAAAAAACATTCGAAATTGAGGGAGTTTGTGACCTTTTTTCGGCACAGAATGAAACGTCTTAACCTCAAGTGAGATCAAATCTCGTGCCTTCATCCTGTGAAGATAAAAGTTTATCATCCAGTCAGTATGTGAAAGTTTACCATTTTGTCTCTTTAATCTTCAGTCAGCGTTTGATACAGTGTACGAAAATCTGTCCTAACTCACGACTCTGATATACCTATAAACTACAGATGCTTGTTAGAGCAATGGCTTCCTATTCAGAGAAAAAGCTTTCAAATAATCAAGTTTCCTATTCATGATATTTGTGTATACCATTTGTATGTTTTTTTAATTTCTAGATAACGACAGATCGGTATATTTCACGCCTTGAATGTAACGTAGTATCTGCGGACAGTAGTGGAGAAATATTTGTCAGAGCAGTTAATTCAGTTGGTCAAACAACTACGCAAACAAAAATTATTGTAGTTCGAACCGGTAAGTTGATCAGCTGTTTTTTGGAGTGATAATTTTACCTAGTAATTCTTTTTAAGTTACTTAGTGAAATTCAACAAGTGAATTTACCTGTGATAAATACTTTAGGCTCTATATTTGTATGCAAATATTCAGGTGGAAATGTAAACCGCAGGTGATAATACAATAATCAGAATAATGACGATGATATTTAAGCGGAATAGCACCGAGAGTTGTCGAACTTAAAAATATTCAATGAAATACGAGAACTAATTTATTCGTGAGAAACAGGCCGTAAAAGCCCATCGTTTATGACCAGACCATGAATAGAAACTGGACTTATTCCCCATATACACAAAGTTCATACTGCGTCCATTTGGTGAACAGGTGAAGTTTTTGGATTTCAAAGTATGTTACAAGTGGCACCTTGAATATTCTGCTTATACGAGATTTTGAAGCTTTGAGTTTAGTGGTTACGGCACCTTAAAGTTGACTTGTGAGTCAACTGCTGATAGAAAATTCCCCTAGCTTACCCACTTAGGTGGATGGATTTAGTACCAGCGATGATTAGCTGTTAGCATATCCTCGTACACTACGGTTTTTGTGAACTCAACATTAGATTATGCCTTAAAGCTGTATAAATTGGTGCACAGTACTTGGATGTAAGATTATGAATCCCTGAAGCTGTGATTCTTTGTTTTAGGCAATTAACCATCAAGCGATATCATAGGTTTGAACCCCTCATCTTAATGAGAGTCAAAAGCCAGGTAGCATCACTAACCCCAGCAAACATAACAGATTCAGTTCACAGCCTAGTGGAAAAAGCTACACGTAATTTCAAGTTTGTTAGAAGAGTAGGGCTGAATACAAAGTAGTTTTCAGCATTTTACAAATTTACTGTTACGTACACATGATGATTCTGTGTATTTCTACGTATTCGAAGTCCTGTGACTGAACCACTTTTTCACATCATAACTAAATGTATTAGGCCCTTAAAGGATAGTCAGGCTGTTTAGTATGTATTTGCAGTATTTGGAAGACACTCAAAACCACCTATCTGCTTGGGGCTAGGGTTTGATTATTTATTCAAGGCATCATATATTTCAGCTGGATTCGTTTTTTGCGGTTGTCCATCCACACGTTAGTCGGAGTGACGGAGTCCGATTCCATGATGCTTGTCAAGTGTTAGGTTTTCTGGATGAGGTAGGCAAATTAATAAGCCGCCTGGTATACATTTTAGATCATATATTTAGATTATTACAATTAAAACTCTTATTAATACCTGACATAACACTCACTTGTTTGAGAATTCTGTTACCAGTCCAATAGCGAGTGCCATCTTCACAAGGTGTTAGGCTCATTTCCTCTTCCTCATGGCCATCATCCAGCATGACTGACAGAAAAAAGGTTTTTGTTAGACTGGGAAACTTCCACTGATTGTTTCTGATTATGTTGAAACCAGCCACTCTTCTTAGATGTGTGGTTGGGTTAGGGAAACAGAGCTTTCGACATACAAGTAAACGGAAAGGTTCAAAGAACTATCATGTTTCCCATATTTTAGGTATCGCTATCCTCTCTTTATTCAGTCCGAGAAGCAGGTAACCAAGCAAGTATGTCACTAGTGAGTCTTTGAAAAGTACTTTGCAACCGTATTCACTTCATACATCCACTATATGGTTTCATCTATTGGTAGAACTATAGGATTTTGTCGTCCCTGGATGACTACCACATAACATTGAACACACTATCAAAAAAGATCGTCTGTTTTATTTTCAAAAAAGAAATAAAAAGAACTTCACAGTAGATACTGTTTTTAGTGATACTTATATGTCTTTCTGAATTCTTTTCTGTGCTTATAATAAAGGTACGTACAATAAAGATATTCGTCTATTTGACTACAGAGCATTCAACCGACTGAACTGTGATATAGATGTATATAAGCCTTCAATTAGTCTAGCATCGACTCTAAATTATTCTTAAGCCCCTGTAGAATTACTGAGAAAAATTTATAAAGACAATAGGTTCATAACATTAGATATTGAGTGAAGATTTGTATATTTCGAAGTACAAAACTTGTAAATTATGTTATAAGGCAACAAGCAAACAACAAGTAAAACCTTTTTGTAGCTCTGAAAAGAGGTCAAACTCAGTTTGCTTGCTGCTTTATGACTTAATGGGTACTGTGAAGTTACTTGGAATTAAATGGTACGGTTTCGGGGGTTAAAATAATAGATGCAATTTTATCTTAGGGTGTGCTACATAATACTAGAGCAGTAGGGATTTTTTACTCATAGTTTTCTCCTTGATATGGAGTGCAGCTATATGAAAAATACCTCAATAAGAAAATAGTACGATATGATGATATCATGAATAATCTCGTTCGTTTCAATGGAAATCATTATTGTCGAAATAGTGCATGAACATATCTATATTCAGCGAAGTTCTTTTAATATAGTGACTTTAAAGGCCACCTTAGTAACGACTGAAGTAACCAATTAGACTACTTTATTTTATGAAAATCTGCCTTTCCATCCGAAATGAAGAAACGTCATTGGTTACTTTGAACGTTGCTAAGGTGGCCTTTAAAGTCGCCCTTTCAGTAATTCAAAGCTTTCCAGAACGATCACACAGCACCAAGCAACTTGACTGGCCAGTTAAAGGTCTTTTGGTGGTCACTCAAGGACGGTAAAACCCTGAAGTTATACCCACTTATTTATCAGTTGTCATTTTTCTTAAAATTAAGAAATCCTCTGTTACGGTTTTCTATGAGAATTTAAGGGAATTTTTCTCGCTATAAAGTCACTTATAGTTGTTCACAGTTAGTACACCCCCTTCATACAAATCTGTTGAATATATCAATCGTTTTTCTTAATCGACCACTTCGACATACCATGCAGTAATTGGTCACCAGTACCGACTAGTATTCCCGACATTGTTCAATAATAGTGCATACCTAACAGATGTGCCCACATTCAGTATTTTTGACAGAAGTAAACTAAAATTTATATTTAATTCCAGGACCAGAACCAAGACCTCCAGCTTTCCAAAAACGCCTACAGCCTCGTATAAAAGTACTTGAACATCATACTGTCACGTGAGTTTCTCCCCTTTTTCCACTTAAGATAACAGGGTTTGCTTTTGATCTTTGTAGTGAACATGCATAAGTTATTTCCGGAGTCCAAAGCTAACGTGACTCAAATTAGTGCAAGTATTAGTTTGATAACAAACGCCATTGCAGACAGTTCCACCAGCGGAACAAATTTTGTCACATCCTCACGTGAATACTCGTAGATCAGCATGCCATAATATAAGGTCACTCACATTTTATTCAGGTATTACAGCAGCCGAATGATCGTTTTTAAATCGTCCTAAGCTCCCCTGATTCCAAAATTAGATCCTAAGTGGTGTGGAATTTTATTTGTTCAAGAATAGGTTATTGGTTGATATAAGACATGACTGTCTCGTTTTTAGTGCTTAGCACGCACCAAAGTTTATCGATCAAGTTTTGCAATGTGACCACCCAGGAAAGTGATGCAACACTCCGGTGAACTGTGCTTTGGTGTAAGACGATGCGAAACAATGGAAAAAATACCTTGTATCTCGGTTTCGTGCTTGTTGGCACTCATTGATTAGCAGTATCTGGAACCGTGATGAAACTGGTGCTACCCCGGTGACTCGAACAAATATCACTGGTTTACTACGCTTCCGAAATCATTTTTACAGTCTTCACCCTAAGAAATCTACTTGTTTACTTGGCCCTTTACTAAAAATGACGGATATTTTTAAAAATTCACTGACAAACTTGAATGACTGATATTTGAGTTATTTTATGTTTATTCTTATCCGATGAAAAATTGTGTGATAGATGAAGGTTTATAGTAAGGACTACTAGTTAGTTAATAATCTCATGATGAAAGGGCTTACATTAAAAACGTTTTTGTATTCTTTATTTAGTTTGGAATGCTGCGTCAACGGATATCCAGAGCCAACACTAAGATGGTTCCATAATGGTGTGGAGTTCGAACCAGTTGTAATTTCTTCCCTTTCTCAACAAGTGACCGCTAAAAGAGAACTGTATGTTGACAAGTCCACGCATACATACACGTTGAACATACACGATTTAAATGCTTTTGATATAGGTGAAATAATGGTTCGTGCAGAAAATGAACTTGGTATAACTATGTGTAGCAGTGTCTTGGAACTAGAGATACTTGATGGAAAGATTGTTGAACCACGTTTCGTTCGTCAGCCACCTGAAAGAATTGAATTACAACCGGGAGACAGCGCTAGATTGGAGTGTGAAGTTGAATCAGAACCACCAGTTACATTTAGATGGTATTTAAATGGACTACAGTTAGATGAGTCCACCAAACAGTTCAAACTGCTCGAAGATGTTAATCGCACAACCCTTATCATTCCATCAGTTCAACCAGAAATTCTCCCAAGTGAAGTTACTATAGAAGCGGCTGGTCAAACTGGAACGAAAATTGTCACCTCTTCAGTACTAGTGATGATGGCCAAAACAGACGATGTAGCAGCCCCACAACCTGAACTTCGTTTCACTAGACAACTCCCATCACATTTAACCTTTAGTGAATTAGATGAAACAATCACACTTGATGTAGAAGTCAACAGACCACAGGAATCATTTTCAGATATTGCTACACTGCTTTTAGCTGGTATATGAATGGAATAGAAGTATTTCTACTTCCACCTGAAAATAAACCTGAACGTTATAACCTAACGCAAGATCATCCATGGCACAGTCGATTGACTATAAATAAACCTGGTACATGGGATTTCGGTGAAGTAACCTGCATGGTTACACGTTTAAGTGGCGAAAAAGAGGAGAAGATTTATACTTCTTGTAACCTAGAATTAACCTATCAGCCACCAAAAGAAGAACAACCCACACCAACAGTTGTCTCAAAGATAGAATTCGCTCCCAATTCATACAAGGGTTACCGGAAAAACTTACTCCAGAAGTTGGGTCTACGGTTGTGATGGATATTGTGCTAAAGTCTAATCCCCCACCAGATATTCAGTGGGCTATTAGTTCACCATCAACAGCTGAACGATTTGAATTCTTTGGTCCAGAACCAGCTGATGAGGAAACATTGCACTACAGAGCTATACTACACAGTTATCAACCACAGAATGATGATAACACTATACTGCAAATGATTGCCACATCACCATTGGGACAAGCAACATCAATATGTCAAATACAACCAAGACAGCAACAAACTGTCAATGTACAATTTGCTAAAACATTAACTTCACAACTAGAAGTTGCACTAGATGAGCCATTACATTTAGAATGTTCAGTTGTGCCGACGACAGTTCCAATTGAATTTCGATGGTATGTTAAAGGATTCGAAGTTAATCCTGAACACATGCCTTGTACAGTGAAGACGTCTGAGTTCACATCAATTTTAGAAATACCAAAACTTACTTCTGAGATTTTTGGAACCATCAGTGTGTCTGTGTTATATCCTCTGGGTGAACTAAGTAGTTCATGTGAACTATTTACTGCTCCGCAAGTACAAATGCCTGTTGCTGATGTCGTTACTGAATTGCCATCAGTACCAGACTTGTTAACAGTTGAATTGAAAAATGTTGAAGAACATGAATTCAACTTCGTCAAACCTCTTCACTCTGAAATACATCAAGATTCAACTGAAGAATATACTTTAGAGTAAGTATCACTACTAGTCATTTCAAAAGATTTGATATATCTTATTAATAATAACAATATACTTGCTATATAGTATAGAATTCTTGACATGTAATACTTCAGTAATTTCCTCACTGTACAGCCTTTTCCAGACAAATTAACGGTGATAATGGTTTACAACATATTACAGATAACAGTAATAACAATCATAAGTATATGAACATTCCGTAACACATTGATTGAAGCAGTGAAGTAATGTTAAGTAAGTGATGCAGCTCGGAAATCAGGTGCAAGATTGTGAAATAGAATGTCAGCCACATTTACTGTGACCACTAGTTATACTGTCTAATAACTGAAATGTAAGCTAGTGGAATGATACTGGGACACAAAAGCTACTGACTAGGTTAAGTGTTTAGGCCAGTGATCCACGGTTCGTCCGAGGTGTTTCTTATAGGATTTGAACTAGAGTTAGTTTGGCTAGAAAGCAATGTTGTAGCGTTAATTCAAGTTGTTGAAGTTCTTAACAACACAATTAAATAAAACTAGACGGTTTAGTCAAAGTGACATGAAAGAACCAAATAACAAAAGGTGAAGAATAAGCATATCCGAAATGTTGATGCTCGAAGTATTTAAGACATGAAGTAGTAAGTATGAATGCTGCTGCATATAGAGAGAGACATATAGTATGGTGTTTTCAACGAATGACTTATGCTACCTTTTGAACACTACTCACAAAGTGCATAGTCTCACCTCATAAATTAGACAGGCAACAAGTAAGCACTTGAGATAGTTACAATTATTCAATGTAAAACTCAGAGATTTCTACCACTTTCTTTCACTACAGATACCACGAAAGGAAAAATCCATTGAGTATGTGTAAGATACGTCCTAATTTTTGACCATTGGGTTTTAAAGATGGTCAACTGGCACAGTTCTTGTAACAACTCCAAACAATTTTTACTGACAGCTGCCTACACTGCAGTCATTTCTGTAAGGTTGTATGGTTTCTGTGTACCATTTCGCAAAAGTATGCTACATATTTCTATTCCCATTACAGTAATGAAAACATGTTAATTCAATGTATTTATATTTTTCCCATTTAACATATAGATTGGAATGTCAGCTGCTGGCGGATCAACAACCAGTGTCTGTTCGTTGGAGTCATGAAGGTGCTGAATTAACTGTCTCGGATCGTATTGAACAGGTTTATGAATATGAAAGTGGCTTAGCTAAGCTAATTATACATAATATCCAACCACAAGATATGGGTGAATACACCTGTGTTGCCACACAAACTCATAGTGAAACTACACAAATTGAACTAATTCAAAAGACTATCACTACAAGTACTCTTGTAGACATAGAAGGTATGTTATAGTTGCTCAACAATAATTTATCTTCATAATCTCGACACTTGATAACTTCATTCCTTAAATTTCTCTAGTTGAGCTGATCAATTCTGAAGTTTGTAATGCTTATAATGTACACAAGTAGTTTGCAGACAATGTTCGTCCCTATATTGTCCATTTGACAGCGATACTTTCCATGTAAACGTGTATTAAATCTTCATCACAAGGCGATATCAGGCGGAAAAAGAACACTTGCTGATTCAAAAATAATGTGGACCTAAAACTTGCAATGGATTCCTGAGGTTTTAAAAGTGACGGAAAGTTACGAAACTGCTTAATGATGTTATCTGGCTTTCAATGCTTATTTACCTATTATTAGTTTTCAGATTCTGAAACTCATTTACTAGAGTCTTACTCCTTGTTTTCAGCTTTTATTCCTTAAATGGGTGAAAACCTTGTCTTTAAGTGGTTTATTGATTTCGGTAGCTGTAAGGTTTAATTCACACCTTACTGACAAGCTTGGCACTGAAGTAAATTGGTTTGAAAACAATTTTTATTAAGGACGAAAACAGCTAGAAGATAACTGGAAGCTATGAGCACTGAACACCTATTACATCATTGTTTAGGACGCCTTGACAGTAAGTATTCATCATTCTGAATGGAATCCAGCCCAAGACATTTGATTTTTCCAGTCCTTACTACACTGATCATCGACTGAAAACTAATCGCATTTTGTACACGTAGGGGACTGTAGAGATTCCTATAATCTGAAGACCGATTTAAGTAACACAATATGATGCATCACCAATTAACGTCATTAAAAATAAACTGAACTCAATAACATATCCAACAAAGAGGTTGAACAAAAACGTTGTCATCTTTAAAATATCTTGCAGTGATTGCCCGGTTAACGGTCAAACGTTAAGATCAATCAGAAGCAGACTGAATGAACGTCTAAATTACCTAGGGGTAAGTCCACACGGACACATGAATATAAAAATCTGAAAAAAATTCAGCCATGGCAGCTCAGGTATGGGATGAAAAACAATATTCAGTGTTCAGTGCGAACAAATAGAAGGACAGGCTGATGAGTGAATCAATATACGTACACGACACACCTTACACATGTAACAAGGGTGACTCAGTCAAATGTTAACACAACATGGCATAAAAAAAATGACAAACACACAAAACTATATATATATATATATATATATATATATATATATATATATATATATATATATATATATATATATATATATATATATATATATGTCTAAGATATGCGTGGACAAGTAAGTTCAACAATTGGTGGGATCACGGGCAGTGATTTTGCTCGAAATTCATCACAAGTATATTTCTAATAATATGAACTAGCAATATTGGCAGCTATTATTGTTAACATCTTTAACCACCTGAATTTTGTAAAAGAATGTATGAAACTGACCATGGATTTTTCCTAAGTTTATAAGTAAGCCTCGCTGGGGAATGATACCATAAAAAAAGTCTGGAAATCCCCTTGTGGCTAACGTACAACCATCCAGAGTGTGTATCAAGCTTAGTCTTAGATACAAACTTTCTTAATACTGGTGACATGAAATACTATGTGCACTGTGAAACTATCAACAATGAAGCTTGATAAGTATAAAATAAAAAGCTTGGACACTTGAGTGGGATGCAATTCCGTATTAGATTTGTCTATTTGATATAGGACAGAGTGATACACTATTATTTACTTCATGACGAAGTTTCGAGCATAAATTATTATTCATAATTTATACAGACTATGTGTGATTAAGATTTGATCGAATAGTATAGCAAATGTTGAGTGCTGAGTAAAATATTGACGTTAGATATAATTTGTATTTGTGTAAGTCACAGCAAGTTTCAAATGAAATAATTCCAACTTTTCGCACAGACGTCTGCTCTGAGCTCCTTCAGAGAAATAGTTAAAATTAAAAATATCAAATATGCACATATGAATTCAAAGACGTGAACTTAATCTCCTTCTCTAATCATCTTTGTATGGTCATTATCTTTCTAAAATATGATAATTAATCACTTGGTGTGACATCCTTACGTGTCTTAGATGCCTAGTACGCGTGTGTGTTGCCATTCAGGACAAACGTGACATTCTAGTTACTCGGTAATTTTACAACTACAACAAGACATTATATTAATATTATTATTTGTCCCTTGGGTTACTAGCGAAACACACGATTTCAGTAGCACGTCTCCATTCCACTCTGTTCTCTGCAGTCTTTCTAACCTGGCTCCACGACTGCCCATAACCTTTCATTACTTCCTCACACGATCTCCTCCATGTCACCCTCACATCGGACGCTCAACTCATCGTTTCCCATGGGGGTCCCACTCGACGACCTGACCTGGCCTGGCACGTGATGTCCCATTCGGTCTTCTCAGTCTATGCACAATCCAATCCATCCCACCTCCACATTCCTCTGCATATTTGTTGGGTGAAGGATGGGTTTATGGTTGGATGGTTCGTTGCCAGCCAGCCAGCCAGCCAGCCAGCCAGCCAGCCAGCCAGCCAGCCAGCCAGCCAGCCAGCCAGCCAGCCAGCCAGCCAGCCAGCCAGCCAGCCAGCCAGCCAGCCAGCCAGCCAGCCAGCCAGAGTTCCTTGTTGTTTATTCTTACTATTCTGGCAATCCATCTGATCTTCAGTGTCAGTATGGAGTGAGCGTAGGTGGCAGCTGTTGATGAATGTCTGTAATTTGTTGGAAGTGTTTTCGTGACGCGCCAAGTCTCTCAACCATCACATACAAGCACTGACTTGACTGATGTTGGTGTTGAAAAACCGGATCTTGTTCTTTGTACTGACTGCAGTAGATCTTCACACTGATTTCAGGTTATTGATGACCTATCTTGCTTTTCCAATCCTAGTTTTGACATTTCGTTCTGTGCCGCCTGTAGTTGAAATGATGCTGCCTAGGCAGATAGGTGAAAGAGACAACTTTCCTCAGGTTTCTCCCATTCATGGTGATTGGTGCTTGTTGTTGATGCTGTTGTTGGTTGGGTATATTTATCACCTCTACCTCTGTCTTCTCTACGTTCACCTGAAGGGAGTCCCATCTTCGCTGCCTCGCCTCTTCTGTCAACTTGTTGGTTTTTGTCTGTAGATCTTCGGGTGTGTGCCACAAGACATTAGACATAAATCATCGTCATCGGCGAAATCGAAATCTCCTTCTGTGGTCTTTTCATCGGTCCAGCCAGTGTATGCCCATCTTCTCACAGCTCCTCACAGTTTATTGCATGCTCCAGTCCAGTCGACCACAATCAGGAAGGTGATCGGTGATAGTAGGTGGCAACCTTGTCTTACTCCTGACAACCTGTCTTCACTTCAAAGGTATCGCTGAGCTTTCCATTGTGAATCACTTGGCATGAGGCGTCGTCATATAGTTTTTGGATGAGGTTGATAAGTATTTGTGGAACTGAAACCGTAGTGTTGAGGCAGCTGCCTGACAAATTACTTCTCAGTCGACGCTGTCGAAGGTCTTTTCAAACTCGATTAAAGTCTCTAAATTCAACACCTTAATGAATGCTCAAGGTTCGGAGAAAATAAAGTTTCGTCAAGACTCCAAATACATATTGCATACTGGTGCATATCAACCATTCTGGGATTGAAACTCCCCAGCTGATCAAAGACAGTTAGCTCTACATATCATGTTGAAATTAAACGGGATGTTGTTGTATTTATCAACCTGAAACGATTCCTTTCTTGTCATTTAAATATGTCATAATTCTATCTACTACTGATTTCTTAACTGTGAATTATTTTTCTTTTTCTTTACAATCAAGTCCCTGAATCAGTTGAAGTTATTCCAACAGTCAGTGAGAAAGTGCTCATGTTTTTGCAACCAGTAACAGCAAATATTCACACTGTACAAGAGCATAAGATCTTGAGTAAGTTACCTGTTTCCTTTCTTCCGATAATATTCATATTCCATCTCTTAATGTTTTATGCTAACATGAAATTTTGGAAGTTGGTACTACTTACACTCGGCTCAGTATAAAACCTCCAATATAGGTAATTAATTAAACTATTTAATACTGTCCTGATTGGCACATTCGTCTTATAAACACTGGGATGATGATGAAAGTTGGACTTGTTTTATGAACTCCTCATTTAAATGACAAACTAATCAGAGACTCAATGACGATAGTGAAATTAGGAATTTGTTAATCACTGGGTTCTCTAACCTAGTCAATCGAGTTACCAACGCATAATCTGTGAGTGGTTGACTCATGCGTCTGATTCAGCTGTTATCATGCACCAAGATTAGTTTGTCACTTAGATAATCTAAACAAAACTCCCTATAAATCAGTTGTATTTAGAAAGGTAAGCATATGTCAATGAAATGATCTTTATGTGAAGCTAAATTCTGTTAGGTATTTGTAGTACTTCAGAACATTAATATACTATTTTTGTCAAAAAGATGTAAACATCTGCTGGTCACTCGAATGCTATCGATTCCAATGAGGTCAAAAATAAATTACTGTAGTTACCATGATCGTAAAAAATAGTGAACACATTTTTTATAGGGAAAATCTGCAAACTGAAAGCAAACCAATTCAAAAGTGATTATGCGAAGAAAGACTTAACCAGTGAAAATTCAACATTTGCTTGTCTACTTTCGTTCATAAACTAGTATTGGATACGGTGGAAATAATCCAATAATCATAATGAGATTAAGATCAATAGCCTTTTGCCGATGTAGTTTATTAAGAGAAGAGACAAAATCAGTCAACAGTAAAATGAACCTGAAGAATGCAAACACTGGATTCTGTATTAAAGTTTGCCATACAGCTTTTTGCACCTAAATGCCATAGGACTCGTTTTCTTCAAATTCTGCTGAAAACATGAGCAGGAATGGATTGTCAATGATAGGCTGGTGTCTCATAATGTCAGAAACTCTTCAAATGGATTAACACCTTTCCGTCTTAATATTCTTAATCTCAGACCTGTAGTCTAGGCTAGGAGGTATACTTTCACAATTTACTCATCCAGTTAAGGGGAATTGTATACAAAACACCAAAATCATTCTATGTTTAAATTTTTACTGTTAGCTGGTGTACTGGTTTTCAGAAAATGTGTTCTCTTGTGAATTCGTCCTTATTTTGATAGAAAATTAACTCGGAATGATAGCGTATACTCCAATAACTTATCAGTCACAATCTTCAGTGTTTACCTTTTCTGAACTGGCTTGTAGTAACTGGCATATCGTTTAAACGTCCACCACTAGCAGCAATCATTAAGGCTCCAAATATCTACAACTATTTGATTATTTATCTCTAGACTGGAATGTCAAATTCAAGCGGATCTAAAGCCTGTTCAGCTTGTCTGGGAAGTAAATGGAAAAGAATTAACTCAATCCGATCGTACTGAAATGATATATTTTGAAGATACTGGGATGGTACGCTTAATACTGCACCAAGTGATCCCATCAGATTCTGGTGAATATGTTTGCAAAGTTCACGGTGAAGTGGTAGAGGCTGAAACAAAACAACAAATGACTAAAACCATTTCATCTGGCTCAATTGTTACAATTGAAGGTAAGTTATATCAGACAGTAATTTTAGTCAAATTCGCTTTTATTCACTTAAGAAAGTTAAGTGAATTGAAGGTGGAATCTAACAACCATTTAATCACGTGTATTCGATTGTGAAAAAGGACAAGTGTGATCACTACTGAAAATTTTCAAATCAGGATGATTCACTTATTCTATTTCTTCACTTGGTTTCATTTCTTCCTATAACTTAAGCTGTTTTGAGAAAATAGTCATCAATTTAATCAAATCCCCAAAATCACCTAATTAATTCAAGTGTTTTGATAGAGGTGTTATTTAAGAAAATAAAAACAAGTAGTTCAGCTGACTGAATGATAATTGCTCATGAATCAAGGTTTATTGATTTCGACAACTGAACTCACAATTATACACAGTAAAATGACCAGCTAAACATTTTTATAATACCAACGAATAAACGTTTCGATAAGTCATTTAAAGTTAATATGATGTCGAATGTATTTAGGAATGAATGTACTTCTAGTTTTGTTCGATATTCATTGGTTTTACGCACTTTTATTTGTGTTACTACAACTTTTTCGACTCACATTTATAGCCTCCCTACTAGACGCCTGAGTTTAGCTGCCTTTGCGCAGCTCAAGTGAAACTATTGTTTACTGCAACCTGAATTGTCTAAGCAGGAAGAAGCTTTCCTTGTAGATCTCATCAGTAATGACTGCAAAATAGAATCAAAATTGGATCAGATAGCTGGAGTTCACTTCGCTTCTGATTATTCAAAGATCAGAATTTGGATACGTAACAACAATAATATTTAAAATAATTTTAGACCGATCAACAATGGATAAAGCGTAATTTTGGTTAGATTAGATTCAAGTGTTTAGATAAGGGGCGAAATTTCTGTTCTGCGTTTTAATTTGCAAAAGTATTTTGCTTTCACTATTATGGATATTTAAATGCAAAAATCGTGTAGTCTGAATTTTTCAATCCATTCTGTTTGTGAATTATTACCATATACTTTATGTGAGTAAAAACAACGAACCACCAAGGCAAGTGTTGAACAGTTGATCAAGAATGCATAACGTTAGTGATGTTTGAATTAAATTTGCTATCGAAATCTATTATCACTTGGTACTATCCTGTCAGCTTGACGGCTACAGATTACTAGATGCTGATAGTCACACTTAGTATCTTTTAATGCCACAGAGCCTGATTGTCACATGTTTTTATTTTGAGAGCATTCAGCTTAGCAACACTTGTGTTTTTGGTTTGTTTATCTTATATAGGAAACAGTGGTACAGCATTATTTGTTTACTCGGTTACTCTTTGAGCATGAGTTGTTGCTCATAATCGTCTCAAGGTAATCACACAACTCCCCATATCTGATTTTAATAGTCCTGGCATCTTGTATCCTTTTCTAACGTTAATCAGCTGAAATCATTACATAACTATAATTTTTGTACTTCATTATACTAAGTTCATATGTTTCTCATCTACTGTGTATTATTTTCAAAATTGATCAACAGATCAAACTGAGGAAACAACTGTCCAAGTTGAAGATACACAAACTGTAGAACCATCAGTGGCTTCCATAGAACCAGCAGATTTATGCTTTGTTAAACCGGTTACACTTGAACTACGCACAGTTTCTGAGCAAGAAAAGCAACTTGAGTAAGTGTAAATTGCTAAGATATATGTGGTTCGAAGAAATCCTGGTTCTGTTATGATTAATTTAGTGGTTCCTACATTTTTAATAGTCTTCTTTGAAAACAAAATCAGGGTTAAACTGTGCCATATGTCTTTCACCTAGCATATCTTAATAGCCATTTAGTCAACATCAACATGAAAACTGACACTACTTCCTAGCGGTCTGAGTTGTCACACCTCATAATATCTCAGTCGATGAAGCTTTACTACCTAGTGAGCCGATTTACCTCTTTTACTTAGAACTCTGTACCTGGATTTCATACAAATGATGGTTACATGACACATTCTATAATACAGGGGAAGCTGTGACCAAACACCTGAAACCTTCTCATTTCCTTCACCTTTAATGGCCATGTGTCACGGTTATGTAGTAGAAGAGAGTGAAATGTAAATTGAGACACTCAACCCTTAATAGGCAATCCGATACCATGATAGATATATGAATGGCTTAATTTGGAAAAGGTCAGGTGAGTGTATTGTACCTGTACAGAGATTTTGATGGTCAATGAGCCACCATTGCTGATTCAACTTTTCAGGTGCATGAAGTGTTCAAATCACTTTACTTCCTACTGTTAGATAGTGCACCGACGTAGACCAATCCTGGAGTAACGTTTGTACCTGGATGTTAGAGAAAGTACACCAGACATTCACAGATTGGCAGTAGACATTTCATCTTGCCAGCATCTTCACTCAACAGGAATATGTCATTTTCTTACTCAAGGTCTACTGAGGAATTTCCTGTGGCAACATAATTTCCTGTGAGGTCAGATGTGGAGATGCAGACCTACGTGAACATGTCTACGGCAATATTAAGTCGAAGCGGCGGAAATTAACATCGTTAACGATCATCAGTCGAAATATATAACTAAACTTATATCTCCCCATCGACTCCCACACGCCCACAAATGTTTGGATGCGAAATCCTCAACAAGGTGATTAAGTTACCCGACACCTCTTTCAGTGAGAAACATTACCATAAGACCTCTCGATAGACGGAGTCAGAGGACACCTTCAGTTCACGAAATATATCTAGTGTCAACCACCAGTGAGTCGGTGTCTAATGGTCATGGGACCTAGAGGTTTGACATTACGTCAGTTTGACTGATTCTCCCTTTGGTTGTAACAGTGGAATTTCTACTAATTTCTAAAAACTGAGACAATCAATTATTGAGATGACGTAAAGAGTGTTACACTTGATTATTACACACTAGCAAAAACTTGTAGTAATCCAGTCTATCATCTTCCACTGTGTAAACTCATCTGATCCTGAAGCCTTTCATAGGTTCAATTTACTCACAGCTTCCTTAAAAGTGGAATGTCTTTTGCAATAGTATGGTTATTACTGTCACCAATTAGTTCAAATTACTGAATAAAGTTTGCCGGTCAAAATCAACATACGAACAGTCAGCTATCTCCTTGGGAACTAGTGTGATATGTATCAACCACCAGTGACTTCTTAATGCAAATAGTTCACTCTTGTAGACTTTTGGGGTGGCTAAGAATTTCTTGAAGCGTGTGCTCGAGGCAAGGATTTCTCGAATTTGAATGCTGGTAAGAAAGAAACTTACGTTAATTAGTTCCAGCAAACCACCGAAACCGCTGCATTTATGAAAATTTGTTCGCATGCAATATCATCAAGATCAATATTTAGAAAAGTATTTTTCCATTAATATACTTATGGAGAGCAGCAATGAATTGAGAAATAAATAGTTCGGAAATAAACTGACATTCAAAGACTGGAACCTCTGATCAAAGCCTATATGTAACAATAAAGTAAATCAAATCCTAATGACGTCGGTTGGTAGCAAAGTCAATAAAATAACCATAGGTAGAAGATAGAGTTTTTAATTCTATCTTCTAATAATCAAAACGGGAATATTTAAGTTATTACCATAAGTGTAAGACTTGGACAATATGACGGAATACAATTCCATATATGATTTGAAGTTATGATACAGCGAAGATCATACCAGTATTATAAACACAAGAAGGCTCCAGAATAAATTAAAACAAAAATCGTATAACAATTAATTGAGAAATGATGAGAAGAAATTAAGGCTTCATAAAAATGAGGAAAGTAATAAAGAGTAAATGCATGCTAATATCGGTTAGAAAAAATAAACAAATATAAACAAACACGAACAGACAAATTAAAACAAAAATCACGCAAAACCAAACAAATTGCATAACGCAAAAAAAAGAACCCCATCATAGCGCCAATAAGAAAAGTAGGACAAAAAATGACCAATGGCAAAATAAAAAAAAAGCAATTAATAAAACAACTAATAATCAATAGCATATTCATAAAAACGAACTAGAAAATATATGGCAAAATTCCAAAACACGGTTTCATTTTTATCGTCCGTGTAGACTTGAGTGTCAATTCCAAGCTGATTTGAAGCCAGTGGAGGTGCAGTGGAGGCTGGATGGCAAAGAGTTGACTCAATCCGACCGAATTGAAATGTCATACATGGAAGATGTTGGTGTGGCCCACTTGGTTGTGCATCAAGTTAGTTCAGCGGATTCAGGTGATTATGCGTGTGTCGTTGTTGGTGAGGTGATTGAAGCACAGACAGGTGAACGTTCAATGAAGACGATAATATCAACATCACAAGTTACTATCGAAGGTATAGTTTATCTGAATATTATGTTATAATTAACATGGTGTGTTGTACTAGTTGTTGGTGGTGTAGTTTACAGGAGCGATACTATGTGCACTTTGTGTGCTTTTGTTACTCATTCTGTGGGTGTTATTTGACGCGATATCAGTGAAAATTCAATGAGACAAGTGTTGCACAATTTATGACCGTGGAGATGGTGGTAGTGGAACTAACTGACAACTTGTATATCTCCTGATGTGTGTTGATTATTCCCCTTACAATGTATATTGGTAGGAGTTGATTACTGTGAGAAAGGATTGTTGCGGAAAGACATTTTGTGAACTGGTAGGTGGAAATAAGTCGTTGGACTTCAGAATCGGAATAAACGAAGACTAGATTTTATTTTGTGTGTGAATTATGATGAGGCCTTGTAAACAATTTATTGCGCACAACTTATTAGTTAATGTCCTATTTCGTATAAATGAAGTGTCGTCAAACCATTGTTTTTGAAGGTAACTATAACTAGAGAGTGCTTTAAATGGCTAGTTGAAAATGGACTGGGAAACATCAACTAAAGTTTATTGACTGGTTGATGCTGCATAAAATCACTGAGAGGCATGGTATTTAGCACTGACGGCTGGACGCTTGATCGGAACGTGTTTCTCTAGAAATAAGGTGTTCAATAAACTGTCATTTGAAGCAAATGATTTGAGCTCACAAAGTGATCAATAAGCAAGTAATTACCTGTATCTGATTGACCTAACTTGGTGGAAGTTATTAGTCGTAGAACGTGCTGAGGAAACGTGACTCGGGTAGTAGACATCCTCTAGTTACTGATCATATGTGCCTATCTACTATGAATATGAACGTGTAATGGGATGTATGTTGGAGGGACGGATAGGAGGAGCGATGGTCAGAGAACTTCTGAAGATGTAGGAGACGTGCAGTCACTGAGCGATTGAAAGTTGACTGGTAGTGCTATAGACAGTTATGTTGTGGATAGGTGGCATTCAGGTGTTTTGTGTAACTAGTGCACAGAGCGAAATTGGGTGTTCAGGTTCTACCGAAGCGCCAGTGCAGTGGTCAGTCGCCTCCGGTGTAATTTTTGTGTGAGGAAGTGGTTAATGGTAGACTCTGGATTGACTTGGTTGTTGAGTGCATTTCTATGATTTTATTCAATATTTTTTCCTCGATCCACTCATCATCGTGCTTTTTCATAGCCTTGTCAAGGATTCATCGTACTGCCATTACCTTTTTATTTTCGATTCATTTGACTTGATTGCAGGTTGTTTGTGTGCTTGGTGATGTAATCTTGATTGTTTTGTTATTGGCCTTGTTGTATGTGTAGTCGCAATTCTACGAAATCTTAATGATGCTCCACCCTCAAATGCACTTGCCATCACTTCGACGTTGGGTCGTGTTACTATTATTGTCATGATGACAACCACACCGCATAATTACAAAAACGTATTTTAATTACTGATTGTACTGTGGTTAACTTTTTTTGAGTTTATTAGTCGATAATACTGGATGATTTGTGTTCAGGATGACAATTTGTACTGGATCCTCAGTGTGTGTGTGTGTGTGTGTGTGTGTGTGTGCGACGAGGCGATGAATTTGGTTGACTTATTGTGTTGGCGTAGAAACTGAGTTGTTTATTCGGGACGAGACTATAGTTGTTGTTGACGATGATGATTATGGTGGACGTGAAAGTGATATTAATAATAGTCCTGAGGATGTTTTGAGTTGAATTACTTTGACAGCTGATTCCGATGAGACTACGTTAGTGGATTGCATTAATATTTGGAAATTAGTGAGCTGAGGAACTGAAGTGATGAGTGAGGGGTGGAAATGTCGAAATCAAAAGAGTGGATGCGTTTTCCCAGTCCGGTTCTATAGGTGGCAGTTTACAACTAAGAGGAATAAGAAAGATGGAAATCTGTTGTGAGATGTCTATACGTTTATCACACTGTCAAGGCCGCGGTGAAATGGGAGTGGACGGTTTGGGTGGATGGAATAGGAATGCGAATTTCGAACAGACTGTGAGTAGACACACAGTGTATGACTGTCAAAATGTTGGACTGGAAAGGAGTTATGAAAATGCAATGAATACACAGGGTAATTAATATACGGGGTAAGTTGAATGGAAGTATGTTCTTGAGGTAGCGCGTTTAACGCTGTATGAGGCGATCTGAGTGGACTAGTGAATGAATTGAAGTTGATGTGAGATGGGATTTTGCAAGGACTGCTTTGTATGAAGACAGAAATGGTCTCAACATGTGTGAAGTGATGAAGTGACGGTGGTGTGAGCGATATAACGTAGTGACAAGTAAGTAGTAGGTGGAGATAGAGATAGAGAGAGAGCGAGAGTGAGTGAGAGAGGGAGTGAGTGGGTGATTGAGAGAGAGAGAGTGAGGGAGAGGGAGAGAGAGTGAGAGTGAGAAAGAGCTAGTACATGAACAATGAGGAGGAAGTGAGTGTCAGGTGTGAGATGGACATTGAGTCTTCTGATAAATCATTATTTGAAATGTTGTATCCACTTTCGTTTCGCTTTTAGAAGAGTTACCAGAAGAATCGGTTGCACCGATGGAAAGTAGCGGACCAGAAGAAGCGACTATTGCACCCGTACAATCTGCTGATTTATGCTTTGTGAAACCAGTCACACCAGAGCTGAATATTGTCTCCGAGCAAGAACGACAACTTGAGTGAGTCATGCATAATTTACGAGTACAGTGTATTGATCAGTATGTGATGTTGGTAAATAGACTGATGGGAAGTTCATCAGATAGACAGATAGATGAGAGCTAGCTAGCTAGCTAGGCAGCTAGATAGATAGGTTGATAGATAGGCGATTGATCAAATAGATGCTTAGGTGGATAGGATGTCAGGCCGCATGATCGACCTGTATGATTGGCGTTTGGAAATTAGTTCAAGCTGGTGTTGTTATGCGAGAATCTTTTATATAATTTGAATCAGACATTCATCCAACCACTAGAGTCATGTTGTGTAGTCATGAGGACATCATTTTTAGGCTACACAATGCTTTTCAACCGTCTGATTCATGTACTCGAATTCGAAGTGGATTAAGCCAAATGGTATCAAATGTTGACAATGTTGAATAGTTTTTGAGTACGATTGTAAAGTCTGACGAGAAGTTATGGAGAGTGTGGAGAGTATTTGCTTGAACTGTGATTTCTAATTTTCACAATTAGACCATTGGAAATATTTTCAGCCTTCATTGATTTTCTAGTTTTGCAGCCTAAACTTTCACTACATTTTTATCAGGAGAGAGTGATAGATGCAGACGAGAATTGTGGAGGATAGCAAGATTCCCACACCACCACTGTCTGTGAAGGAAGTTCTTACCAGGGTACTGTGAGATGAGTTTCAATAAAGGACAACTTATGATTGTTTGTATGAGAACTAGTCAGTGTTATCGTAGTTTAGATGTCAATGTTCGCTTGCAAATGGATTAGCTTAAGGTGGAGTTCATCCTGACTTTCAGCGGTTATTGACTGTGTGACTGACCCTAGAATCGAATGATCACCATGAGACAGGCAGATAACGATGGAGCTTTGCACAAGAGGGCATTAGTTCCAGTGACCACATTTGTCAACAGAACATAGAAGGAAGTAAACCGAAATAGGATGATATTAAAACGAGCGAGGAGGATATGTATGTGACGAGTGATCAGCAAGACATTTAAGACCATCAGATGTAATATGAGATGATGAATCAAATTTGAGTTAAAGCTTCGTATTTAGCTCTTGAATAATTGATGCCAAATGTGACTTATCTATAAGATTGGGTTACTTCGAAGTAGACAATAGTTGGTTATCGAATATATGAGAACCATGTCATTGGTGGTATCTGGAGGAGGAGGAGTAGGAGGTGGAGGTGGAGAGTATGATTGGCTGCTGGTGTTTGTGTTGGTGGTTGTTTGTGTAGGTGTAGGTTAGTGGGTGGATGTGGATGTGAGTGTGGGATTGGGGTTGGGGTTGGGGGTGGCTTTGGAGCTGGTCGGCAATGCTACTTAAAGATTTTGGATTAGTGCGATGCTTATATTCACCACTTCCTGTTTTTACGCTCACGGTCATGTCGAATATTTTTTGTGACTACAAACGAATGATGGTGGTTAGTTCAGCTAGTTTGGAATATGAAGATCGCTTACTGACTGGGAAACAACAGTAATCACCTGATTGGTTTCCAAACATGTGAAGATTTCATAGTCAGGATTAAATAGCGTATTTGAAAGCTATGTTGTCACTGTACGAAGTAGTAATACATTCGTCAAACATAGATGTGTTATAGTTGAAGTGGTTAAATTATTCAGATTATTGTTGGATGCAGTGAGTTAGTTATACGCCTAGATTTCCGACGACCATGTGATCGATAGACTTCTTTGTGTTTCGTGCATGTCTGAAGATATGTAAACTTTTCAGCAATCAGTTTGTGTTATGTGGGAATGTGGAAGAAGAAAGTGAACTTGTTGTTTGACTGAAATTGTGATTTTGACTGTTTTGTTCTGTGTAGACTTGAGTGTCAATTCCAAGCTGATTTGAAGCCAGTGGAGGTGCAGTGGAGGCTGGATGGCAAAGAGTTGACTCAATCCGACCGAATTGAAATGTCATACATGGAAGATGTTGGTGTGGCCCACTTGGTTGTGCATCAAGTTAGTTCAGCGGATTCAGGTGATTATGCGTGTGTCGTTGTTGGTGAGGTGATTGAAGCACAGACAGGTGAACGTTCAATGAAGACGATAATATCAACATCACAAGTTACTATCGAAGGTATAGTTTATCTGAATATTATGTTATAATTAACATGGTGTGTTGTACTAGTTGTTGGTGGTGTAGTTTACAGGAGCGATACTATGTGCACTTTGTGTGCTTTTGTTACTCATTCTGTGGGTGTTATTTGACGCGATATCAGTGAAAATTCAATGAGACAAGTGTTGCACAATTTATGACCGTGGAGATGGTGGTAGTGGAACTAACTGACAACTTGTATATCTCCTGATGTGTGTTGATTATTCCCCTTACAATGTATATTGGTAGGAGTTGATTACTGTGAGAAAGGATTGTTGCGGAAAGACATTTTGTGAACTGGTAGGTGGAAATAAGTCGTTGGACTTCAGAATCGGAATAAACGAAGACTAGATTTTATTTTGTGTGTGAATTATGATGAGGCCTTGTAAACAATTTATTGCGCACAACTTATTAGTTAATGTCCTATTTCGTATAAATGAAGTGTCGTCAAACCATTGTTTTTGAAGGTAACTATAACTAGAGAGTGCTTTAAATGGCTAGTTGAAAATGGACTGGGAAACATCAACTAAAGTTTATTGACTGGTTGATGCTGCATAAAATCACTGAGAGGCATGGTATTTAGCACTGACGGCTGGACGCTTGATCGGAACGTGTTTCTCTAGAAATAAGGTGTTCAATAAACTGTCATTTGAAGCAAATGATTTGAGCTCACAAAGTGATCAATAAGCAAGTAATTACCTGTATCTGATTGACCTAACTTGGTGGAAGTTATTAGTCGTAGAACGTGCTGAGGAAACGTGACTCGGGTAGTAGACATCCTCTAGTTACTGATCATATGTGCCTATCTACTATGAATATGAACGTGTAATGGGATGTATGTTGGAGGGACGGATAGGAGGAGCGATGGTCAGAGAACTTCTGAAGATGTAGGAGACGTGCAGTCACTGAGCGATTGAAAGTTGACTGGTAGTGCTATAGACAGTTATGTTGTGGATAGGTGGCATTCAGGTGTTTTGTGTAACTAGTGCACAGAGCGAAATTGGGTGTTCAGGTTCTACCGAAGCGCCAGTGCAGTGGTCAGTCGCCTCCGGTGTAATTTTTGTGTGAGGAAGTGGTTAATGGTAGACTCTGGATTGACTTGGTTGTTGAGTGCATTTCTATGATTTTATTCAATATTTTTTCCTCGATCCACTCATCATCGTGCTTTTTCATAGCCTTGTCAAGGATTCATCGTACTGCCATTACCTTTTTATTTTCGATTCATTTGACTTGATTGCAGGTTGTTTGTGTGCTTGGTGATGTAATCTTGATTGTTTTGTTATTGGCCTTGTTGTATGTGTAGTCGCAATTCTACGAAATCTTAATGATGCTCCACCCTCAAATGCACTTGCCATCACTTCGACGTTGGGTCGTGTTACTATTATTGTCATGATGACAACCACACCGCATAATTACAAAAACGTATTTTAATTACTGATTGTACTGTGGTTAACTTTTTTTGAGTTTATTAGTCGATAATACTGGATGATTTGTGTTCAGGATGACAATTTGTACTGGATCCTCAGTGTGTGTGTGTGTGTGTGTGTGTGTGTGTGCGACGAGGCGATGAATTTGGTTGACTTATTGTGTTGGCGTAGAAACTGAGTTGTTTATTCGGGACGAGACTATAGTTGTTGTTGACGATGATGATTATGGTGGACGTGAAAGTGATATTAATAATAGTCCTGAGGATGTTTTGAGTTGAATTACTTTGACAGCTGATTCCGATGAGACTACGTTAGTGGATTGCATTAATATTTGGAAATTAGTGAGCTGAGGAACTGAAGTGATGAGTGAGGGGTGGAAATGTCGAAATCAAAAGAGTGGATGCGTTTTCCCAGTCCGGTTCTATAGGTGGCAGTTTACAACTAAGAGGAATAAGAAAGATGGAAATCTGTTGTGAGATGTCTATACGTTTATCACACTGTCAAGGCCGCGGTGAAATGGGAGTGGACGGTTTGGGTGGATGGAATAGGAATGCGAATTTCGAACAGACTGTGAGTAGACACACAGTGTATGACTGTCAAAATGTTGGACTGGAAAGGAGTTATGAAAATGCAATGAATACACAGGGTAATTAATATACGGGGTAAGTTGAATGGAAGTATGTTCTTGAGGTAGCGCGTTTAACGCTGTATGAGGCGATCTGAGTGGACTAGTGAATGAATTGAAGTTGATGTGAGATGGGATTTTGCAAGGACTGCTTTGTATGAAGACAGAAATGGTCTCAACATGTGTGAAGTGATGAAGTGACGGTGGTGTGAGCGATATAACGTAGTGACAAGTAAGTAGTAGGTGGAGATAGAGATAGAGAGAGAGCGAGAGTGAGTGAGAGAGGGAGTGAGTGGGTGATTGAGAGAGAGAGAGTGAGGGAGAGGGAGAGAGAGTGAGAGTGAGAAAGAGCTAGTACATGAACAATGAGGAGGAAGTGAGTGTCAGGTGTGAGATGGACATTGAGTCTTCTGATAAATCATTATTTGAAATGTTGTATCCACTTTCGTTTCGCTTTTAGAAGAGTTACCAGAAGAATCGGTTGCACCGATGGAAAGTAGCGGACCAGAAGAAGCGACTATTGCACCCGTACAATCTGCTGATTTATGCTTTGTGAAACCAGTCACACCAGAGCTGAATATTGTCTCCGAGCAAGAACGACAACTTGAGTGAGTCATGCATAATTTACGAGTACAGTGTATTGATCAGTATGTGATGTTGGTAAATAGACTGATGGGAAGTTCATCAGATAGACAGATAGATGAGAGCTAGCTAGCTAGCTAGGCAGCTAGATAGATAGGTTGATAGATAGGCGATTGATCAAATAGATGCTTAGGTGGATAGGATGTCAGGCCGCATGATCGACCTGTATGATTGGCGTTTGGAAATTAGTTCAAGCTGGTGTTGTTATGCGAGAATCTTTTATATAATTTGAATCAGACATTCATCCAACCACTAGAGTCATGTTGTGTAGTCATGAGGACATCATTTTTAGGCTACACAATGCTTTTCAACCGTCTGATTCATGTACTCGAATTCGAAGTGGATTAAGCCAAATGGTATCAAATGTTGACAATGTTGAATAGTTTTTGAGTACGATTGTAAAGTCTGACGAGAAGTTATGGAGAGTGTGGAGAGTATTTGCTTGAACTGTGATTTCTAATTTTCACAATTAGACCATTGGAAATATTTTCAGCCTTCATTGATTTTCTAGTTTTGCAGCCTAAACTTTCACTACATTTTTATCAGGAGAGAGTGATAGATGCAGACGAGAATTGTGGAGGATAGCAAGATTCCCACACCACCACTGTCTGTGAAGGAAGTTCTTACCAGGGTACTGTGAGATGAGTTTCAATAAAGGACAACTTATGATTGTTTGTATGAGAACTAGTCAGTGTTATCGTAGTTTAGATGTCAATGTTCGCTTGCAAATGGATTAGCTTAAGGTGGAGTTCATCCTGACTTTCAGCGGTTATTGACTGTGTGACTGACCCTAGAATCGAATGATCACCATGAGACAGGCAGATAACGATGGAGCTTTGCACAAGAGGGCATTAGTTCCAGTGACCACATTTGTCAACAGAACATAGAAGGAAGTAAACCGAAATAGGATGATATTAAAACGAGCGAGGAGGATATGTATGTGACGAGTGATCAGCAAGACATTTAAGACCATCAGATGTAATATGAGATGATGAATCAAATTTGAGTTAAAGCTTCGTATTTAGCTCTTGAATAATTGATGCCAAATGTGACTTATCTATAAGATTGGGTTACTTCGAAGTAGACAATAGTTGGTTATCGAATATATGAGAACCATGTCATTGGTGGTATCTGGAGGAGGAGGAGTAGGAGGTGGAGGTGGAGAGTATGATTGGCTGCTGGTGTTTGTGTTGGTGGTTGTTTGTGTAGGTGTAGGTTAGTGGGTGGATGTGGATGTGAGTGTGGGATTGGGGTTGGGGTTGGGGGTGGCTTTGGAGCTGGTCGGCAATGCTACTTAAAGATTTTGGATTAGTGCGATGCTTATATTCACCACTTCCTGTTTTTACGCTCACGGTCATGTCGAATATTTTTTGTGACTACAAACGAATGATGGTGGTTAGTTCAGCTAGTTTGGAATATGAAGATCGCTTACTGACTGGGAAACAACAGTAATCACCTGATTGGTTTCCAAACATGTGAAGATTTCATAGTCAGGATTAAATAGCGTATTTGAAAGCTATGTTGTCACTGTACGAAGTAGTAATACATTCGTCAAACATAGATGTGTTATAGTTGAAGTGGTTAAATTATTCAGATTATTGTTGGATGCAGTGAGTTAGTTATACGCCTAGATTTCCGACGACCATGTGATCGATAGACTTCTTTGTGTTTCGTGCATGTCTGAAGATATGTAAACTTTTCAGCAATCAGTTTGTGTTATGTGGGAATGTGGAAGAAGAAAGTGAACTTGTTGTTTGACTGAAATTGTGATTTTGACTGTTTTGTTCTGTGTAGACTTGAGTGTCAATTCCAAGCTGATTTGAAGCCAGTGGAGGTGCAGTGGAGGCTGGATGGCAAAGAGTTGACTCAATCCGACCGAATTGAAATGTCATACATGGAAGATGTTGGTGTGGCCCACTTGGTTGTGCATCAAGTTAGTTCAGCGGATTCAGGTGATTATGCGTGTGTCGTTGTTGGTGAGGTGATTGAAGCACAGACAGGTGAACGTTCAATGAAGACGATAATATCAACATCACAAGTTACTATCGAAGGTATAGTTTATCTGAATATTATGTTATAATTAACATGGTGTGTTGTACTAGTTGTTGGTGGTGTAGTTTACAGGAGCGATACTATGTGCACTTTGTGTGCTTTTGTTACTCATTCTGTGGGTGTTATTTGACGCGATATCAGTGAAAATTCAATGAGACAAGTGTTGCACAATTTATGACCGTGGAGATGGTGGTAGTGGAACTAACTGACAACTTGTATATCTCCTGATGTGTGTTGATTATTCCCCTTACAATGTATATTGGTAGGAGTTGATTACTGTGAGAAAGGATTGTTGCGGAAAGACATTTTGTGAACTGGTAGGTGGAAATAAGTCGTTGGACTTCAGAATCGGAATAAACGAAGACTAGATTTTATTTTGTGTGTGAATTATGATGAGGCCTTGTAAACAATTTATTGCGCACAACTTATTAGTTAATGTCCTATTTCGTATAAATGAAGTGTCGTCAAACCATTGTTTTTGAAGGTAACTATAACTAGAGAGTGCTTTAAATGGCTAGTTGAAAATGGACTGGGAAACATCAACTAAAGTTTATTGACTGGTTGATGCTGCATAAAATCACTGAGAGGCATGGTATTTAGCACTGACGGCTGGACGCTTGATCGGAACGTGTTTCTCTAGAAATAAGGTGTTCAATAAACTGTCATTTGAAGCAAATGATTTGAGCTCACAAAGTGATCAATAAGCAAGTAATTACCTGTATCTGATTGACCTAACTTGGTGGAAGTTATTAGTCGTAGAACGTGCTGAGGAAACGTGACTCGGGTAGTAGACATCCTCTAGTTACTGATCATATGTGCCTATCTACTATGAATATGAACGTGTAATGGGATGTATGTTGGAGGGACGGATAGGAGGAGCGATGGTCAGAGAACTTCTGAAGATGTAGGAGACGTGCAGTCACTGAGCGATTGAAAGTTGACTGGTAGTGCTATAGACAGTTATGTTGTGGATAGGTGGCATTCAGGTGTTTTGTGTAACTAGTGCACAGAGCGAAATTGGGTGTTCAGGTTCTACCGAAGCGCCAGTGCAGTGGTCAGTCGCCTCCGGTGTAATTTTTGTGTGAGGAAGTGGTTAATGGTAGACTCTGGATTGACTTGGTTGTTGAGTGCATTTCTATGATTTTATTCAATATTTTTTCCTCGATCCACTCATCATCGTGCTTTTTCATAGCCTTGTCAAGGATTCATCGTACTGCCATTACCTTTTTATTTTCGATTCATTTGACTTGATTGCAGGTTGTTTGTGTGCTTGGTGATGTAATCTTGATTGTTTTGTTATTGGCCTTGTTGTATGTGTAGTCGCAATTCTACGAAATCTTAATGATGCTCCACCCTCAAATGCACTTGCCATCACTTCGACGTTGGGTCGTGTTACTATTATTGTCATGATGACAACCACACCGCATAATTACAAAAACGTATTTTAATTACTGATTGTACTGTGGTTAACTTTTTTTGAGTTTATTAGTCGATAATACTGGATGATTTGTGTTCAGGATGACAATTTGTACTGGATCCTCAGTGTGTGTGTGTGTGTGTGTGTGTGTGTGCGACGAGGCGATGAATTTGGTTGACTTATTGTGTTGGCGTAGAAACTGAGTTGTTTATTCGGGACGAGACTATAGTTGTTGTTGACGATGATGATTATGGTGGACGTGAAAGTGATATTAATAATAGTCCTGAGGATGTTTTGAGTTGAATTACTTTGACAGCTGATTCCGATGAGACTACGTTAGTGGATTGCATTAATATTTGGAAATTAGTGAGCTGAGGAACTGAAGTGATGAGTGAGGGGTGGAAATGTCGAAATCAAAAGAGTGGATGCGTTTTCCCAGTCCGGTTCTATAGGTGGCAGTTTACAACTAAGAGGAATAAGAAAGATGGAAATCTGTTGTGAGATGTCTATACGTTTATCACACTGTCAAGGCCGCGGTGAAATGGGAGTGGACGGTTTGGGTGGATGGAATAGGAATGCGAATTTCGAACAGACTGTGAGTAGACACACAGTGTATGACTGTCAAAATGTTGGACTGGAAAGGAGTTATGAAAATGCAATGAATACACAGGGTAATTAATATACGGGGTAAGTTGAATGGAAGTATGTTCTTGAGGTAGCGCGTTTAACGCTGTATGAGGCGATCTGAGTGGACTAGTGAATGAATTGAAGTTGATGTGAGATGGGATTTTGCAAGGACTGCTTTGTATGAAGACAGAAATGGTCTCAACATGTGTGAAGTGATGAAGTGACGGTGGTGTGAGCGATATAACGTAGTGACAAGTAAGTAGTAGGTGGAGATAGAGATAGAGAGAGAGCGAGAGTGAGTGAGAGAGGGAGTGAGTGGGTGATTGAGAGAGAGAGAGAGTGAGGGAGAGGGAGAGAGAGTGAGAGTGAGAAAGAGCTAGTACATGAACAATGAGGAGGAAGTGAGTGTCAGGTGTGAGATGGACATTGAGTCTTCTGATAAATCATTATTTGAAATGTTGTATCCACTTTCGTTTCGCTTTTAGAAGAGTTACCAGAAGAATCGGTTGCACCGATGGAAAGTAGCGGACCAGAAGAAGCGACTATTGCACCCGTACAATCTGCTGATTTATGCTTTGTGAAACCAGTCACACCAGAGCTGAATATTGTCTCCGAGCAAGAACGACAACTTGAGTGAGTCATGCATAATTTACGAGTACAGTGTATTGATCAGTATGTGATGTTGGTAAATAGACTGATGGGAAGTTCATCAGATAGACAGATAGATGAGAGCTAGCTAGCTAGCTAGGCAGCTAGATAGATAGGTTGATAGATAGGCGATTGATCAAATAGATGCTTAGGTGGATAGGATGTCAGGCCGCATGATCGACCTGTATGATTGGCGTTTGGAAATTAGTTCAAGCTGGTGTTGTTATGCGAGAATCTTTTATATAATTTGAATCAGACATTCATCCAACCACTAGAGTCATGTTGTGTAGTCATGAGGACATCATTTTTAGGCTACACAATGCTTTTCAACCGTCTGATTCATGTACTCGAATTCGAAGTGGATTAAGCCAAATGGTATCAAATGTTGACAATGTTGAATAGTTTTTGAGTACGATTGTAAAGTCTGACGAGAAGTTATGGAGAGTGTGGAGAGTATTTGCTTGAACTGTGATTTCTAATTTTCACAATTAGACCATTGGAAATATTTTCAGCCTTCATTGATTTTCTAGTTTTGCAGCCTAAACTTTCACTACATTTTTATCAGGAGAGAGTGATAGATGCAGACGAGAATTGTGGAGGATAGCAAGATTCCCACACCACCACTGTCTGTGAAGGAAGTTCTTACCAGGGTACTGTGAGATGAGTTTCAATAAAGGACAACTTATGATTGTTTGTATGAGAACTAGTCAGTGTTATCGTAGTTTAGATGTCAATGTTCGCTTGCAAATGGATTAGCTTAAGGTGGAGTTCATCCTGACTTTCAGCGGTTATTGACTGTGTGACTGACCCTAGAATCGAATGATCACCATGAGACAGGCAGATAACGATGGAGCTTTGTACAAGAGGGCATTAGTTCCAGTGACCACATTTGTCAACAGAACATAGAAGGAAGTAAACCGAAATAGGATGATATTAAAACGAGCGAGGAGGATATGTATGTGACGAGTGATCAGCAAGACATTTAAGACCATCAGATGTAATATGAGATGATGAATCAAATTTGAGTTAAAGCTTCGTATTTAGCTCTTGAATAATTGATGCCAAATGTGACTTATCTATAAGATTGGGTTACTTCGAAGTAGACAATAGTTGGTTATCGAATATATGAGAACCATGTCATTGGTGGTATCTGGAGGAGGAGGAGTAGGAGGTGGAGGTGGAGAGTATGATTGGCTGCTGGTGTTTGTGTTGGTGGTTGTTTGTGTAGGTGTAGGTTAGTGGGTGGATGTGGATGTGAGTGTGGGATTGGGGTTGGGGTTGGGGGTGGCTTTGGAGCTGGTCGGCAATGCTACTTAAAGATTTTGGATTAGTGCGATGCTTATATTCACCACTTCCTGTTTTTACGCTCACGGTCATGTCGAATATTTTTTGTGACTACAAACGAATGATGGTGGTTAGTTCAGCTAGTTTGGAATATGAAGATCGCTTACTGACTGGGAAACAACAGTAATCACCTGATTGGTTTCCAAACATGTGAAGATTTCATAGTCAGGATTAAATAGCGTATTTGAAAGCTATGTTGTCACTGTACGAAGTAGTAATACATTCGTCAAACATAGATGTGTTATAGTTGAAGTGGTTAAATTATTCAGATTATTGTTGGATGCAGTGAGTTAGTTATACGCCTAGATTTCCGACGACCATGTGATCGATAGACTTCTTTGTGTTTCGTGCATGTCTGAAGATATGTAAACTTTTCAGCAATCAGTTTGTGTTATGTGGGAATGTGGAAGAAGAAAGTGAACTTGTTGTTTGACTGAAATTGTGATTTTGACTGTTTTGTTCTGTGTAGACTTGAGTGTCAATTCCAAGCTGATTTGAAGCCAGTGGAGGTGCAGTGGAGGCTGGATGGCAAAGAGTTGACTCAATCCGACCGAATTGAAATGTCATACATGGAAGATGTTGGTGTGGCCCACTTGGTTGTGCATCAAGTTAGTTCAGCGGATTCAGGTGATTATGCGTGTGTCGTTGTTGGTGAGGTGATTGAAGCACAGACAGGTGAACGTTCAATGAAGACGATAATATCAACATCACAAGTTACTATCGAAGGTATAGTTTATCTGAATATTATGTTATAATTAACATGGTGTGTTGTACTAGTTGTTGGTGGTGTAGTTTACAGGAACGATACTATGTGCACTTTGTGTTCTTTTGTTTCGCCTTTTGTGTGTTTTTTTTCGTTGGATTTTTGTGTATTTTGAGGTATTTATTTTTTTTGTTTTGTGGTTTGATTTCTGTCTCTTTGACGTTTTGTAATTTTTTTCTTTTTTTTTTATTCTGTTTTCTTTGTGTTTTGTTGCTCTTTGTCTTGTTCTGTTTTCCTGTGTGTTGTTTTTAATTTTTTTTCGATTATTAAGTTTATGTTTGGGTGTTTTTATATTTCGCTGTTTCGTTTTAGCTGATTCGGGTAAGTCTCTATCTCACCTGTTTATGTGTCGAAGGTTGGGGTTTGCTCTGGAATTTTAAATACTTATTACCGCAGGTTTCATATGTTGAAGTCGCATGCTCATTTTAAGGTGTTGGAGTTATTTTGAGTGGTATTTATATGAATTATTCATGTCTGTTTGGCACATGAAATAAAGGATGTACTTTGTAATTATAGTTGTCACCTATTTATCTGAGGCTGATTGTTGTATGAGGATGTGTTTTTAACAGATAGGTTGGTGGTTCAGGCCTCTCTCATGGTTGGAGTTTTCTGACTGGGAGGTAGTATGGTTTCCTTGCATTCAACGTGTTCGTTTCAATGCTTACTACACGAGTGTGCACAATTTTGCTGGGCGCATTTTTATTCGTTATGATTCTATCGCATTGCCTAAGTTTTATTCTTACTTTGGTCTAATAATCGTGAAAATCAGTAGAGGGAAATTAATAGTATCGCGATCATGGTTTCATTGCTCAGTTCATGAATAATATTTTTGTATGATGGCAAATGGTTTTTGAATGCAGAGTGTTGGTTTGTAATATCTAATACGTTGTCAAATTTAAGTATTTATCCTCAATGTGCTTTGTAAATAGGTCTAAATTATGTATAAACACCAATCCTGTGATTTTCTCTCAACGATATTTTATGCAATCTAATGGCTTGGACATCTGCTTCCAACGTTTGTGGTTTTAGGTGCTTCAGTTGGCTTCTTAAGTTTGTCTCAAATATGCTCTGAGGCCCTCAGTACATGAATCTATTGGTCCTCTTTTATTTATCTCGCACCGCATGTACATCTTAATTGGTAGATTTAATGAGTTGACATTGTTATTCACATGCTGTATAGGTTTAGGAGAGTATACAGGCTTGGTAGTTTCTGTCACTTGGATCCTGTCTGCATAGTAAA